GTCTTTAATGTTCCCATTAATGCCCTTTTATGCGTTATGGTCTATACAAACACAAAACTGACTTAAACAGAAAGTAATTTTTAAACACTTTTATTTAAGTCAGACCAGCACAAACTGAATATATCACAAGGATTTCTGAAATAAATAACAAAACAAGCTTACTAATATATTCAGAATCAAAAACTAAAGTGGCTTCTGCATCATAAAAGCTGTTGTGTTGAGCCCTTAAAAATGTTCCTTAAGTATGAAAACTATCAACAATGTACAATTGGCTGGAGGGGCTTGACTCACTTCGAGTGTGTCCACCGACACAACAACAAATGTGGGTACTTTGTATAAACGTTTGAGCACTCTAGCTTAAAAATTCAGCGAGTTACAGATGTTGAAACAAAAAGTGTTACAACCATACTCGGTCTACGCCTATATAATCTGTTACCTCAACAACATCCACAAAACATCTTTAAAATGTCGCAGATAAAATGTTCTAGCTTTGTTAATACGTCACATTACAAGAACGTTTTATAAAAACATTACACAATCTCAAGTCTCAGTGATGTTCATATAACGTTCTCCTAATGTGGCTGAGAGAATGTTCTTCCTTTGTTATCTTGAAACATTGTGCCAATGTTTTATTGAAAACATTATACTGTATAATCTGTTACCTCAAAACATCCTCAAAATGTTGCAGATACAATGTTCTAGCTTTGTTAAATTAATTTATAAATGAAAATGATCCGTACATGAAAAACACTGGACAAGCACTGGACTTGGTAAGGAAATGTATTGAATTATTATTCAGAATTTTTTTTATAGGAATATTCAATGTTCAGTATAATTCATGTTAGCAGAGATAACAAGGACATACAAAAAGCATTAATTCATACAGCACACAGAAGCTGAACAACATCAGTGTTTAGTTGTAATGTGGGACTTTAAGCATCAGTTACTGATAGAACAGCAACACCAGCAGGAAGTATAAAGTGTAAACTGCCAAAGAACATAAAAATCACTTAGCAACAGTAAAGAGGATTGCGTAACAGATCATTTAGTCATTTGACAAAGTACAAAAATAATGTCATCACATATTTGCTGTGTCCTAATTCAGTTTTTCAAAGGCCACAAGAGTTGTTAAACGGGACAGTCTGACATACGGAGGATCACTCGTGTCGTCTAGCAAGTGTGACCGCTGCCGTTGAAGAGTGACAGTAATGTTTGTACTGGACTTTTAAAAAAGTGATATTCAACAGTCGGAAAACAACACAACCCGTCTAAATATGTGCACCTTGATCTATTTATGTATATAATAAACTACATTAGATATTTTAGTAAGATATCAACATTTTTGTGTTTCTGTAGCATTAAATGTTCAATTAGGTTGAACCCCAGCACTTACTTTTGTAAGTTTAAATCTGAATTTTCTGTTAAAAGATCCTATGGTGTCGGCACCAATAGTCTTGTGGTTTGTGCGGCGACATGCAGCGCATCTGCGCTCACAGCGACCCGAGTTTAAGTCCTGCTGCTGTGATGCAGTCGGTCTTCAGATGAAGCCTTCGAAGGATACAGCATCTGAACTGAGACACAGTTATTGTCTGTTTTGGTTTATTTGAGTTTAGTTTCTTGTCCTGTGTTTAGTCTGTGTTTTTGGTTGCTATTGTTTCTTATTAGTCGACTGATCAGTCCAACCTGTGCCTTGTTTTATCTCTCATTCTCTTGCATATTTAAATTCCCATTTGGTTCATTTCTTTTTCTTTTTTTTTGTCTGTATGTGGTTTGGTTTTCTCCTCACCAGAGTATTCTTGGTGTTGCTGAGTGTTTTTTGCTGTGTGTTAATAATGATACAGCGTGTAATTAGACCCTCTGCTCTCATTTTGTGAATCAAACTGTGACCCAATATTGACAGAGAATCACAGTCTGTATTTATGTTGTCAGATCAGAGAGTTTGACTGAACCACAAACATAAAACCCAGGATAGAGCGGCTGAGTGAATGTGGTCTGGACTGTGTGGATGAGGTTCATTGTGTCAGAGACGCTGTAGAAGCACAGAGTTCCTGCACTGTGATCCACATACACTCCTATTCTCCTGCAGCTGGAGGGAACAGGGAGTTCAGTCTGACTCTTATTGTGCCAGAATGAGAAACTGGAGGGAGAGCAGAACAAACTCCAGGACTGATCATTACGTCCAAACACACACTCATAACCAGATCCCTTCTTGCTGATGCTCTTATATGACACTGATATACCCACATCACTCCCACTCCACTCAAGCTCCCAGTAACAGCGTCCACTCACACTCTCTCTACACAACACCTGAAGAGCATTATCAAATCTGTCTGGATGATCAGGATACGGCTGAGGTGTGTCAGTGTAAGTCACCGCTCTGTTCCCTTCAGACAGACGGAGGAGTTTATGTGCAGTGTTTGGATCCAGAGTGAACTGATGGGAATCTGATGAAAAGAAAAACACTGTAATCAGGAGTTGTAAAAGTTAAACTTTTAAGATTATTTTGCTCTATCAGATCTGCAGCATGATGTTCATGCATTCGCTTGATATGTCATAAACTATTATTCTCACACTAAAAGTTTGCATAGTTCTATTATCTCTGTTTCTTAACTTACTTTCATGTCTATCTCAACTTTCTTAAAAAAATTTTTTTTTTATCTTTTTGTGCTGAACTGTAAAAGCTCTTTGTTCAGATTGAAAAAAATGAAAATGTATTAATTCTGTTTGTTTTTGTGTTTGCTTGGTTCTTTTATTTATTTATTATTTTTTACATAAACAAACACAAACACATTCACATGTAGGCCTACAATTCACACGCAAGCACAGAAAGCTGTAGATATATGGACAGAACAGACAAACATATCAAGTTGCATTTTTAGAAATGTACAGGATTTGTTGTTTTATTGTTGCTGTGGCGATCAGCCAGTATTAAAGTATTAATGAACTATTGGGTATCACATTATTATCACATTATGTATTTGTATGTTGGTTCATAGTGGTTTTAATAAAGTAACTTTTTAGTATTAATTATTAAACAATTATTATCAATAAACTAATCTGACTACACATTTAAAGAAGTAATTAATAACTCAATGTAAACTGGAGTATTTTTGCCTACACTGCACATGATTCATAATGAATGTGAATAAATAATATTTTCTATCAGTTCTGTCACTTCAAACTAAACTTTCTTGTTAAAGTATCTCAATGTGTGTCATTGTGTTTGTTAGCGGCTTACATTGTAGGAAGTCCTCTCTGGTCCTGGGAACAATGTTACTGTGAGTGTCTGTGAAAATATCAGATATAAACACTGAGAGAGAAAATGATACCTGTATCTATTCCTTAGACATTTCGAACATTTTCTTTATGATATTGCATGATGTTTGTCTCATTACAGAGAGCAGATGAATCTCTAATATTTTACCAGATATCTTTTTCATCTCCTCTTTGCAGAAATCCTCCAGTTTGTGTCTCAGCTGACCGACAGATTCTCTCACAGCATCAAAAGAAAAGAGGAAACTGACAGAGATGTTTTCTGTAGCTTCAGGAGGAGCTGAGAGAGACTGAAGACTCTGCAGGAATAACAATTAATAAACCAGAAACAAATCATAAATAAGAAGAACTTAAGATACTGTATACTACATACATATACATTTAAACATAATTAAGACCTATACACACATATTTAATAATAGTTGCCATATTATCTTTTGAAGTTCAAGCAAACAATAAAATAATAATAATAATAAATAAATAAAACTGGTGATTATCAAGTAATTGTTCACTAATGAAACATGTTTAGCTACCCATTTAAAACAAAATAAATAATGAAATATTATAAAATAAATATTTACTGTCATGAAATGTCATTAAAGAGGAGACATTTAAACATAATTAAGACCATGATATTAATGATTAATAACTTGGTATAAAAAAAAAAATAATAATTATATAATGGATAATATTCTCTGTTAGCATATTTCATTGTCAACTCATTTCTGCAGTCCTGAGTGAAACCAGTTTTTTTTTTTTTACGGTAAAGACCACAACAAACAACATTTCTGTCAGTAGAATCTCTGCTTATTGTCTCTCAATCAAATTGTGTGGCTCAAATAATAAATGATAATTAGAGACTCAATAAATACCTTTAACAGCAGATCTTGGTAAAGTCCACTGTGGGTTTTATTAGATCTCTGTTACCTGCAGGAAATATATGTGATCGTCTGTGTGTGAAAGCTGCTCCAGCTCAGAGTTTCTCTTCTTCAGATCTTCAATCTCCTGCTCCAGTCGCTCCATTTGTCCTTCAGCTCGACTCACTGCAGTCTTTTCCTGATCTCTGATCCGCTGTGTCACCTCAGAGCGGCTTCTCTCAATGGAGCGGATGAGCTCAGTAAAGATCCTCTCACTGTCCTCCACTGCTGTCTGTGCAGAGCGCTGTTAGACACACATCACAATCAGCTCTTACTGCTTCCTCACAGCGGCTTCAGTGAGGAGAGGCAAACTGAGTCTCAAACTTCTCTTCTTCTCCAAACTCACCTTATGAGCCTCCACAGCCTCTCTCAGCTGCTCAAGATCTTTCTGTCTCTGCTGGATTCTCTGCTGGAGTTCACTCTGTGTCTCCTTCAAGTGTTTCTGGAGGAGACATTAAAAACAGCAAACCTCACATATTACACAAAGCTATCACAAAATCATGTAAAATTTTGGCTGTTTGATTAAAAAAATTCTTCTTCACAGTGTTTCTCAGAGTTTTAAGATCATTAATTGAATTTAGTTTCCATGAAGTCCTCAGATATGAAGGAGGGCATATAAGTTTATTGTCATTGTTATTCTGCAATCAAGAATTAATGTGACGAAATGGACGTTCAAACTGAGTGCAATTTGCAGAAAAAACAATAACTCTGATGCATGTACAGTTATAGTAGAAATCATGAGCGATGTGACAAAAGAGAGTAAAGTTCAACTCATGCTCTAATGCACAGAGCTGTAATGTAGTAACTCTCAATGGGAGAGAAGATCACATGATGCACTCATGATACAGCTGGATACTGCAGTGAAGAGAAACACTTGAAGTGTCAGCATTACATGTGTAATTTCAGTTCATACCTCTTTCTCTGTCCTCTCTGCTGCAGTTGATACAGTCTCATGGTTTTTATGTTCATCCATTGCACACAGCATGCAAACACATTGCTGGTCAGTACGACAGAAAAGCTCCAGAAGCTTATCATGTTGATGGCAGATCATCTGCTGCAGTCGTCCAGTGGCATCAGTCACTTTGTGTCTCTTTCCTGAG